TGACAAGATGGCTGATTCTGTGTCTTGATTATGGTGACTAAGGCCGCTATAAACACAGATGTGCAGATGTCTCCTCAACATACTGATGCCATTTCATTTGTATACGTGCCTCATAGTGGGATGGCTGAACTGAGAATTTTAGACTCCTCCATGCGTTTTCTGTAGCCGTGCTAAAGTGTGTAAGCATTGGCATTTCTCGACAGCACTGGACATGGTGATCTAACTGTACTCCATGCCAACAAGATCTAGTCTGGACATTTTAAAGGAAAAGGAACCCACCCCCCCACCCCGGAGAGGGCTGGTGAGCTAAGTGGCTTCTGGTCAGGGTCAGCTCTGTGGAAGTAGTAAAGATCATCTTGGGAAGGAAGGGCCTTGCAGGCAGCAGGCAGCAGGTGCACTCAGAGGAATATGGGAAGTCAGGGCAGCTCATCCCTGCCCTGGAGGGGAAGCAGTGCACCTCCAAAAGCAGAATGATGCTGTGTAATAGGGAAGGACGTCGAAGGCACCGATGGGCTGGTGGGGTGGTATATCGGATGAGGTGCTTGCTGGCAAGCCTGGAGACCTGAGTTCTATCCCCGAGAACCAACTGCACAGAGATTTCCTCTGGCTTCTATTCATATATGATGCTACAGTGTGCAAATGCTCGTCCCTCACAGTTACAGGATGGCATTATAAAATATCTGATGAAATTCCATACATTCACTCTAAGGTCTGGGCAGGACACGAGAAGCGTCTTCTGATTAGCTGGAAACAAACAAATAGCAACACAGTGTGTTGTGTGTTCTCTCCAATGTGTGGAAGCTCTAAGAGCCATTCGTGTGTAAAGTAGTCATTGATAGAGGCCAGGAAGGGTCGGGGGCTGGATAAAGGGAGGTTCGACAGCAGAGACCAATGCACATACCTGGAGGAGCAAGTTCTGGAAAGTTCTGTTTTAGGGACTCCACACTTTACAATAATCTATTGTTTATCTTACGACGACCTAGGAGACTGAAGTCTGAGCCTCCAAAAATAAAGAGGAAAGAATTCACTGTCTTCATTTGATCAGTGCCTTTTGTGCATGATGACATATCCCGAACCAATAAAAACCAAAGTGAGAGGGAGAAGGGGGGAAAAAAAAGAATATTTAAAAGCTTAGACTACCTGGGAATAGATGAGAGAGCATTTGCCACATTTCTAGCATTTCTTTCAAGTGTTCTATTCATTGGAAGCTAGCACATCTGGGCAACCAGCCAAATGAATGTCAGCTGATGACACATTGTAACTTAAAGCAGCTTAGCTGCCAGAACATTGTATCAGTGCAGGGTTGCAAATGATACAGTCTCATGGATACAATGTATCCATATAAATGTTCCTGTTAAGGTAGCCAACATCCCCCCCAAAGCCGCAAGGCTTTTTTTTTTTTTTTTAATTCTCCCCTAGTAAGTCCTACAGGAAGCTGAATAACAGCACCCACAGTTCTTAGAGTGTACTCCCAGGTACAAACGTCAGAACTTTTCTCTCCCCGGACATTCTAAATGACAGTCATTGTAGCTGGGGGGGATGGGGTAACCCGTCACATGGTTGTGTTTGAAAACAGCTGCAAGTTACAAAACCTTAATGTTGTCATAATTAAAAATGAATAGAAGAAATGGAGTCAAAGAAATATAGCTCGTGCCCTTGAGGGGAGAGGTCAAGAGTAGTGTTCTCTGCTGGTGGCCCACCTGTGCCTGGTCTTGGCTCCCTGGCTCCATGCAACACGGCTTGATAGTAGGGGTTCAAGGTTGCCTTGTGCCTCTGGGACACCTCCCCCCCCCCCAGGATGACTTCTATAGTGGTGGGACTATGAGGTGGCTGACACTCACTGCTGAGTAATGTGTGGCTTGGGCTTCCAACGCAAAGTAGAATTGGGTGTGGCTCAGTCATCAAAACTGGGGCACCTAGTAGGGCAAGGCAGTGGCTAGTCTGAGCTCTGTGCTGGGCGGGGCACTTTCCACACATGAAGCCTGAGCCCTTAGTCACCTTGCTTGCTGACACCGGCTCTGAGTGACCCTTGCTGCCCACTTCCCCCATTTAAGGCTTTGGGAGTCCCTGCAGCTAGGTACCCCATCTTGACCCTCCACTCCCTGGCCTGTTCCCTTCCTGCCCTTTCATGTCTCTTTGAGCCCAGACTGCATCCTAGTGAAGGGAGGAGCAGATGATACTTGTGATGTTGCAACGGTCAACTTCCGCTGTGTAACAAACTGTCCCAAGAATCCTCGGCTCGCTCATGGCGGCATTTATTTTACTTACGTGTCTGTTTCTTCAGACTGGGTCCATGCCAGCCTTTGCTAAAGTTCAGGTCAGCTCTGTATCTCGTCACTTCAATGCAGTATTTCACTGACTAGATAGAGACACATGGCCAAGCCCAACTCTCAGTGAGCTACCCCTGTAGGGACCCAGGGCAGTGACATGCTGCCTGGCCCCCTTCAAGCAGGGAAGACCTGGGAATAAGTCCTATCATAGTCTTGGTGTCCAGATTCTTGCCAAACATTTGGACAATAGCTGATTTTAAATATGTTGGAAACGTTCAGTAGCCATGCCAAGGGCCGGTTTGGAGGTCCGTACAGATGAAGTTCTAGGGACCCAGGAAGCTACATGGGACCCCTCCAGGTTGTACTGAGCTCCTCTTCCCTGTACACAGGTTGGAGCTCACAGAAGGGATTCTAGGACAACCCGCCCCTCCCCCAGGAGCCTGGTGAGACCATGGTATAAAATACACATGCATGTGCCTCTGCTTTCTTTCGGCCTCCGATGGAACAATGCTGGTTCCCGGCAGTTAAAGGTTCGGGGTTGCTGGTTATATTCCTACCTGGTCTGGGAGCTAGAGACTGAGGCAGGCCTAGCCCTTCCCTTTCTGCAGAACTCCAAACTGGCTGGCATCTCTCTGCCTCTCCAGGAAGGTTCCTCTGTGTGGCCACTGAGTTTCAAAGGTATTTAAAAACTTACTCCCAGAAGGTTTGGCTGGGGACAACAAAGCATTTGAAATGTGTGTAGCTTATTCCAGCTCATTAGGAGCTGGGGCCATAACACTGCCCATCCATCCTGCCAGGAGCCCTTATGGAGCTCAGGAGTTGCTGGTGTGGTTTGAAGTCAGAAGCGGTGGGTCCGACTCTTATAAACCTAGTGACCACTGTGGTGAAGGCGGATCTCTTTAAGAATACCCCCTTTAAAGAGTTATAAATAAAACACCCCGTGGGTGTTTGTAGCACGTTCTTAGTCTGGATTTTCTTTAACATAGACGCCCAAGCGGCACCCAGAGAAACAATGGGATTCTTTCTTCTGCCTGGGCCTGAGAGGAAACAGGAAGTGAATTCTTATAAGGGTGACTGGGGGGCTTTCATTTGGCCGTGTGTGTGTGTGTGTGTGTGTGTGTGTGTGTGTGTGTGTGTGCTGTTAGGATCCCAAAGCTGCTTCTTGTGATGCTGCCATGGGACCCAGGGCCCCTGGCCGTGCTGGCCAAGTGCTCTCCCACTGAGCAATACTCCTGCCCTCTGGAACCTGCCAGAAGAGGCAGAAAGATGTCAGCCAGTTTGAAGGTCCTGCCCACAGGGAACTGCTGGGCCTGAATCTCCCTGCTTGGCCACCTAGAAGCTGCTCTGTGAGGAGCAAAAGGGAAGAGTGGCCAGAGTCTCGCTGTAGAAAACTCAAGGCCATCGCCCTGTCTTCCAGGCCTCTTTCCCACTGTCCCCATGGCTGTCACAAGGTCCCCCAGTGTCTCCTTGCTGCCATATGGGGGTTCCCTCACTCGGTTGGCTTGTCTCCATGTCACAGCTTGGCTATTGTGCATCTTCAGGTAGAAGCCTGCCTCCACCTTGGGATCTTTACTGAGCTTTCCCGCCTCAACATCAAAATCCCAGCTCCATTGGCCCAGATCGAAACACCCTTGGTGTTTCTCACAACAACTGACTTGACTTCCTAATGATAATAAAATAAATGGGTAGGGCTGGTGAGCTGGCTCGGTGGGGCTTGGCAAACTGACTCCGTGCGTCCAAAGGTGCCTGCTAACAAGCCTGACACCCCGAGTTCAATTCCCAGGACCCGGTGTAAGGGAAGAACAGACTGCAGTTGTTCTCTGACCTCTATGCACATGCCGTGGTATGCATGGGTGCACATGTGTACTGTACACACACAGACTCAGTAAGTGTAATAAAACGTAGAGATAATCCCTTATGGCTATCCTCACCGGATCAAAATTCGGAACCTGCAGTGACTCCCGCTTTAACTGTGTCAGTGTGGATGAGTTTGTGCTCGCAAACTACCAAGAACCAGACAACGGCTTGTTGGGAGGCGTGAATGGCAGGGTTTATGCTATAGGCCAAGGTGAAGGGTGACGTGTTTGTGGCATTTCGTCTCCTGGTGGGACAAACACTTCCCACCTGTGTGCTTGAGACTTTGGGGGCCAGAGAGCCTGGGGTGCCTGGGGCACCAAAGTCCTCTTCTGTTAGCAATGCTTGATTCTTTAAATCCACTAGAGTCTACTGGCTGGTCATTTGTTCTGCATAAGCCCTGTCCCGGGTTCTGAGATGGTGAGCAATGCAAAGGGCAAGCAAAGGGCGAGAGAGCAAGTCCCCCACAGTGCAAAGCTGGCTGTGTGGTGGGAAAGGACAGTTCAACCAAGGGATGCTATGTCCTCATTATCCCAGCCCCCGTGCAAGCTCACTTAGCGGTGCCCAGGCCACATTCCCGGAAGCAATAGCTAGAGAGTGACCAAAACGCAGCTGATGTGATGGGTGGGAAAAGATAAAGCCAAGCCAAGGAAGAGTTGAATGGGGACTGGGGACGTAGCGGCGCATAGTTCCGAGTGCAGGCAGGGTGACCTCTGATGATTTGTATGTGATGAATCCCAGGGTCCCAAGGCATTGCTGCTTGCTGGGTGTTGTTGTGTCTCTGCATCTGAGCTGCTTGCAAAAGTCTGTGTGGCTGTGTAGTCCCCGGCCTGCAGGCCCCAGCTCTGACCTGCCTGCCTCCCCCTCCTCCCCCAGGTATGGAGAGTGCAATCACACTGTGGCAGTTCCTTTTGCACTTGTTGCTGGACCAGAAACATGAGCACCTCATCTGTTGGACATCCAACGACGGCGAGTTCAAGCTCCTCAAGGCGGAAGAGGTGGCCAAGCTGTGGGGTCTCCGCAAGAACAAGACAAACATGAACTACGACAAGCTGAGCAGAGCCCTGAGATACTATTACGACAAGGTAAAGCAACCTTCAGCTTCATGGGGGGGGGGGGCGCTCCTCTCCTACTTCGTTGATGAGGGTTGATGTTGTGGATCGAATTAGAGAAGGGGGGGAAGCTCAGAGGCAGATCACTCAGGGAAATGGGTGTCTTATAGGCACAAGATCTAAATTTAATCTCTGGAACCCACTATGCCTGCTATGGTGAAATATGCTATCCCAGAGCCAGACAGGTAGAAGCAGGAGAATCCCTGGGACTCACTGGCCAGCCGGCCTTGCCTAATTGTCAGTTCCAGGCCACTTAGAGACTGATGTCTAGAACCGAGGAATGAAGAAAACGGAGGTTTATTTACATCTTTAATTCTGAGCAAAGCCACTGCGAGGATTTCCCCTCCTGTGGAAACTTTTGGGATGTTACTGGGGCTCAGATCTTGTGTAACTTGCTGAAAAAGGCTGCTGGCAGCAGGGGCCAGGTGTCAGGTGGCTCTGGGGCTTTCCAGATGCTGCTCTGGGGACAGAATAAGAATGAGAGTCTGGAAAATGTGTCTGTTCTTTTTGGATGGGGTGTCGTCAGAAGAACCTTTCCTTGGGAATGGCAGTTTGGGGGTGTAGCATTTGACCCCTGTGTGCTGGGGGCTAAACCCAGGGCCTTGTGTGCACTAAGCAAGTGTTCTGCCACTGAGTTACAGTTCCGGCCCTGAACACTTTATTACTGTTAAGGGTCTGGCACCTCGGTAACCCTACTTGTGCAATGGGCATCATAACAATTCCGGAATCAGGGTCTCCGTAAGGATTCACTGAGCCATTCATGCTAAGTCCGTCTACTATGCTTGGCGTGTGACATTTGACTTGTTAGTAACTTCCCTAGTTAGAAGCAAAGCCAGTTTCATTTCCGTATTAAGAAGGTGAGAAGATGGAGTGCTGTAATTTGTAGAAAAACAATACTAATTTTATGTGTATGGGTGTTTTACTTGCATGTATGTCTGCGGACTACATGTGTGCAGTACCCGTGGAGGTCGGAAGAGGACATTGGTTCCCCTAACACTGGAGTTACAGACAGTTGTGAGCTGCCACGTGGGTGCTGGGAATTGAACTCAGGCCTCTGGAAGAGCAGCCTGTGCTCTTAACCATTGAGCCATCTCTCCAGCTCCTAGAGTGCTTTTCAAAGTAAATCACACCATGGTTGCCAAAGCCAGGGCGATTGGCATGAGTTTAATTCATTTCTCACAAATTAGTTAGTATACTAGGTAAGACAAAATTTCTTCTATTTAGGATATACATATCAGATCTGTAACTATTGGACATTTCTGTTTGAATCCATGCTTGCTGGCTTTTTAGCTTCATGGACCTGAAGGCGTAGATTCCTAGTAAATGGAATCAGCTTTTGTTCTGGGTTCACTGTTCATATGAAAAGGTGAATTTAAAACTGATTTAAATATTAGTTCCCAATCTATATTTAGTACCTCTGTCTGCAAACCTCTTTGGAATTGAAGACAGAGGATTACACATTGCAGGAAGTGAAGACGTCATTAATTATAAAGAGCTCCTTTCTACGTTCCTAATTGCATGTGATTATGTCATTGGAGAGCTAAAGGTGCTTCCCATTAATGTGGCAATTAATTAATCCCGGCTTAATGCAGAGTCCTATGATGTAAAGGCTCTTCTCAGCTAATTGCACTGTCTGGAAGCCAAGCAGATGGTGTCTTGCTTTGCGTTTTCCCCAGGTTCTGTGCTCTGCCATGGGAATTGGGGGCCCCCACAGGAAAACAGTCTGCCTTGCCTGCTGGCAGAGAGCCCGGAAGCTTGGCCTTTCCATTGTTTTAAATCAAGGTGTCAAAGAAAAGAGGGTTTGCCTCGGTGCCTGAGATTATTGTCACCTCTTCATGGTTTGGGCATTGCACCTGAGGGTATGTCCCATCAGCATGAAGGGCTCTGGGTCCCGGGCTGCTGTTGTTTAGCTAGTGCTGGGACTCAGGTCTCTAGAGAAAGTAGCTTCAGGCTGGACAGTCAGACAATGCCTCCCTCACAAGGTGAGAGCCTGGAGAAATGATGGTTATGATGACTTCTGTTCATAATCCCAGCACTGGGAAGGCAGAGACGGGCAAATCCTTGGCTCACTGGCCAGCTAACCTAGCATAATAGGTGATCTCCAGGCCAAAGAGAGGTCCTGTCTCAAACAAGGTGACTGGTGTTTCTAAGGGTGACTCCTGAAGTTCCCTGGCCTCCACATGCATGTGCATGCTTGTGTACACACACATGCACACACACACGTATACACAAATATATACATACTCACAAGCACACACACAAGTAAAATTCACATACACTCACACACAAGTACACACATATATATACACACAGGCACACATATCTATACACAAGTACAATACACACACACAAGCACACATACATATGCACATACACGCAAGTACAATTCTCATACACATAAACACATGCATGCACACACATGTTTTTCAAAAGTAGTTTCATAGCTGTTAGGAAGCATGTGCTGCTTTCTGTTAAGGTCTAGGGACCTATTGTGGCCTGGCCACTTCCTATTGAACTAGGTGACTTTAAACTAGATGACAATCCTTGAGACGTGTCCTGCCCCAGCCCTCCTATATGAAGCAGAACATAGGGCCTTGGTTGGGAGACCATGCTAGCCCATGCAGCCAGTGAGAGGCAGGGCCTGGGGCCCGGCCGCTCTGTGCTGTTCTTTAAGACACAGACCTTGACTTCTACTTTGGAACCTCTGAGGTCAAGTAGGCTGTCTATATGCTGTGCTAAACTCAGAAGTTTTTATTATCAGATGTTTCAGTCTTGAAAAGTCCAAACGAATGCCATGCATTAGCTTAAGCCCAAACTCTGGGGCCCAGGTGGCCACCGTGGCCAGGTTGCTGGCTTGTCCCGTTCCTCTCTTTCTGGGCCAGTGAGCTGAGCGTGGTTCCAGTCAGGTGACCTACGGCCTCTCTTTCTCAGTGTGTTGTTCAGACTCGGCCACACCCATCCTTTCACATTACAGATGTGCACATACGTGTTCCCAGGAAAGCGACTCATCATCTGCAACACTCCCAAGAGATGACTCGCTCTAGACTTTGCAGCTGTTTGTCTGCTGTTGCTATTACAGAGCACACGGGTCTGGGTAGTGTATAAAGAAAGGAGCTTTGGAGATTCAGAAGCTCAGCAGTGGCTCTGCTAAGGGTCCCCTTGGCTGTGACACAGCTGGAGGATGCTGTCATGGCAGGGAGCATGCGTGAGAAACGGACTGAGGTGGGACCCTCTCTTTTATAACAACCCACTCTCATAAGATCTAGCCCTGTGAGCATGTCTCCCACACCCCGTGTGACCTGACACACGGCACAGTCCCCAACTCTTGAAGGTGACAGTATTGCCACACTGAGGACTTGGCCTCCAACTCCCAGCTCCCGGGACGTAGAAAGGAGGAGCAGAACAAGAGAGAAAAGCAGGGGAAGACTGCCCCTGTGTCACAAAACCATCTATTTTACGTTTTCTGACTAACGCCTCTGGTTTCGCCAGCAGCGCTCTGATGGGCTGTGTCCGTTAAACTGGTTCAAATCTCTAATGTCTGACAGGGTCTTGTGGAAGGGCAGCTTGGATCAGAGGATGTGGATGTGAAACCCTTGGGCCACAGGGCCCTGCTCTGTTTTTCGGGCAAGGATGAGGGAGTGACCCCAGACTCAGGCTGATCCTCTCCGCTTCTGGGTGTCCGATTGATCCCCCTCCCCCTTCCTCCCTCCCACTCAGAGTGAGTGGCATAAATCTGTGGCTGTCTGACTCAGCAGCCATGGCAACTTCTTTTCTGTTGTCTTTTCTGGCCTTCTCTAGCCAGTGGCATCCTTTCCCTGGGGTGGCTGAAAATGCACGTCTTTTGCTTTGCCCTAATAGGGAAGTTTCTCTACCAGTGCAGACAAGCCTGTGAACAGCATTATTTTTATACGGTATGTGTTGTAATTTTAGCTTGTCCCAGCATATGAAAAGTGGGCAGAGGAGAAATGTGGAGATGTACATGAATCTATACAGGAGACACTGAGGGAAAATATTGTATGTGGTCGTGACATCTGGCAGTGTGAAGGGCTAAAGTCAGTGTCCCTCCGAAACGTGTCCTCCAGCCCACAGGTTGTGAAGAGAGGTGGGTATGGTGTGGGTTTTGGCTTAGATGTCTGGGCTAGAGACCAGCTGGGGAGGGGTAGTCTTTCTGGGACTGCCTTAGCCTCCTTCCTTATAAATCTGTTTATTTATGCGTTAGTTTTGTGTGCACATGTGTGTGGGTGCTTGTAGAGATCATTATCGAGGCTCTACCTGGATTACTCTCCACCTTATTGTTTGAGACACAGTCTCTCGGTGAGCCTCAGGGATCCTTCTGACTCTACCTCCCCAGCGTTGAGATTACAAATACACCCCAGAAATCAGAACTAAGGTCCACTTCACTGACTGAGCCATGTCCCACCAATCCCCTACCCCATTTCCCCCCTGTGGTTCTGAGGATGGGGCCCAGGGTCCTCACAGGCTGGGCAAGTACACTCTCATTTTTAATGTAGAATGAGATCGACAGCAGTCTATTGGAAGGATCATGGTGGATAGGCTCGGTGGCTCCTGTACCCTCCCAACACAGTGCCCAATACTTGATAGATGTGATGAAGCCGCGGCCAGAGTCATAACACGGGCAATCATATTTCCCTACCACTAGTTTAAAGTTTTGGGTGAATGCAGCGAAGGGACGTGAAGCCTGGGACCATCCTCCGGAATAAGTGCGTGGAAATGGAGTGCTGCCATCTCCTGACACTTCAGGAGCCCTTGGCGCTGCTGCTCCATCACTAGAGTGGCCAGCAGCTGTACCAGCTGCTTGTTTCTACATAGTTAGACTGTCTGGAAAATTCTCACATTCCGACGCCCTCCCCGCCCCTCCGAGTGAAACTCTGCACGCTTCCCTGTGCACTCAGTGGGAATGAACATCCATCCCCGAGTGCCCTAAGCATCCAGGCTTTGGATTCAGGACCATG